CGTCGCGGTCGACCGCGGGTGACGCGGCGGTCGACCGCCAAAACTCCAGAGACTCTGATTAGGAGAAGGATTCGTCGCGGTCGACCGCGAGTCGGGTTTTGGCCCAGTAGCGGTTTTTGACCTGTTTCCTTTTCTATTTGTAAAACCCTTAAGTCTATAAAAGGGTTGATTAGGGCATGATGTAAAAAAGATGAAAATAGTGAAATTTTCTCCTGCGGCGGCCGTGGACGTAGTTTCTCACATTGAGAAGCGAACCACGTAAATCTTGTGTATTTGTGATTGATTGAATTCTCTCTTCTCTCCTAAATCTCTATTTCCAAATCGCATCAGGGGGGTTGTGCATTCCCAACAAGTGGTATCAGAGAGACCAGGTTCGACGCGAGCGATTTGAGGTCAGAGACATGGGATCTAAGAAGGAAACATCCAAGATTGAGAAGTTTGACGGAACAAACTTCGGGTTTTGGAAGATGCAGATGGAAGACTATCTCTATCAGAAGGATTTATACCTACCATTGTGAGAGAAGCCGGCGGATATGAAGGATGCGGATTGGAAGCTATTGGATCGAAAGGCCCTTGGAGCGATCAAGTTGACCTTGTCAAAATCAGTAGCGTTCAACATCAAGAATCAGAATTCGACGGCGGACCTCATGGTAGCGTTGTCCAGTATGTATGAGCAGTCCTCTACGGCGAATAAGGTACATCTCATTAAAAAGCTGTTTAATTTGAGGATGTCCGAGAGCCAGAAATTCAAGGAGCACCTGAACGAGTTTAACGAGATCACGGATCAACTAAGCTCGGTCAATATTCAATTTGATGATGAAATCCAAGCCCTCTTGATACTTGGTCAATTACCCGACAGTTGGTAGGGTACCGTTATCTCGATTAGCGGATCATGTGGCAAATTAAAACTGAAGTTTTCAGAGGTCGTGGACATGATTATGACTGAGGAGATTAGAAGACAAGAGGAAGGAATTTCTAATTCAGGGTCGGCATTGAATTTTGAGAGCAGAGGAAGAAACAGAAACAGAAATAGAGGGAATAGCCGAGGAAGACCTAACCCGAGGAACGGGAGGTCAAAGTCCAGAAATCGCAAGAGCAAGAAGGAGATCGATTGCTAGAATTGTGGAAAGTTTGGCCACTATGAGAATCAGTGCCGAGAACCCAATAAGGACAAGGAGAACAAGACTGAAGCGAACGTGGCCTCAGAATCAGATGATGCCATAATCTGTTCGTTGGAGAGCAAGACTGGATCGTGGGTGCTGGATTCAGGAGCTTCGTTTCACGCTACCTCAAATAGAGATTTATTTGAGAACTACGTTTCAGGAAACCTAGGAAAAGTCTATCTTGGTGATGATCAGCCCTGTGATATTGTTGGCAAAGGAGTCGTGCAGATCAAGCTCAATGGGTCTATATGGAAGCTGAGTGATGTGAGGCATGTTCCTAGCTTGAGGAAAAATCTGATTTCCATAGGACAATTGGCGAAAGAGGGATATGTATCAACCTTCGCATGTGATACGTGGAAGGTTACAAAGGGATCCATGGTTGTTGCCCGTGGTATGAAGACTGGGTTTCTCTACATGACGATAGATGCACGTGGTTCCATTACAGTGGCTGAAAGTAAGGAAGACCCAAATTTGTTGCACCCGAGGCTAGGTCACATGAGTAGCAAAGACCTAAAGGTTATGCAGTCGAATGGGAAGTTACCAGGTTTGAGATCGACTGATATTGACTTATGTGAAAGTTGCATTCTTGGGAAACAAAAGAGAATAAGATTCAAAAGGGTTGGCAGAACTCCTAAAGAAGAGAAGCTTGAGTTAGTTCACACAGATGTGTGGGGTCCAGCATTAGTACCATCCACCGGCGAAAGGTTATATTTTGTGACCTTCATAGATGATCACTCGAGGAAGACTTGGGTCTATTTCATGAAACACAAATCAGAAGTGTTTGAAGTCTTCAAGAGATGGAAGGCTATGGTAGAGAACGAGACCGGTTTGAAGATCAAGAAGCTTCGTTCTAACAACGGCGACGAGTATGAAGATTCAGAGTTCAAGAGGTTCTGTTATGATAGTGGCATCAGATTGGAGAGGACAGTGCCAGGTACATCCCAGCAGAATGGCATAGCAGAACGGATGAACAGAACATTGACTGAGAGAGCCAGAAGCATGCCGTTACAAGCAGGTTTTCCAAAGCAATTATGGGCAGAAGCAGTCAACACAGCTGCATACTTGATCAACCGGGGACCAACAGTGCCTTTGGAGCACAAAATACCTGAAGAAGTATGGAGTGGAAAGCAGGTAAATCTTTCTCACCTGAGAGTATTTAGATGTGTTTCATACGTTCATCTGAGTGATCATGCAAGAAACAAACTTGATCCTAAGTCTTTGAAATGTTTCTTTGTTAGCTATGGCGGTGATGAGTTTGGCTACAAATTCTGGGATGAGCAGAACAAGAAAATCATCAGAAGCAAGGATGTGGTCTTTAATGAAACAGTCCTCTACAAAGACCGTGATGCCGTTCAGTCCACTAGTTCGGTGCAGAGTGATCCCACATACTTCGAGTCAGATGATGCCTCACATGGAGGTAATCCCGAAGCTAGTTCTGATGAAGAAGAAGAGTTGATGGATGAGACTACTTCA